TCTCTCTCTCTCTCTCTCTCTCTCTCTCTCTCTCTAAACCTATCCAACAGCCACAGGCTGTTTTGTTGATTTCTATCGCCTCCCTAATCCTTTGCTTACTGGTTGGTATAGTCTCCATCTCCAACTAAGCGTTTGCATTAGACAAATCTATCTGGTGTTTTGCCCAAGCCATATGTTTGGACAATTTAGCTTATGGGATCCAAATGTCCTTGCATGTTGTTTTGTGTTCGGATAACCTCTTATGTATGGGTCTACAGGTCTCTTTTGCATAGGCAGTGCCACATGAACACAAAAATCTTGTAACAGCTCGATCTGGAGAGCGGGTCGGAGTAATCTCGGAAAGAAGGCAACTGGTCCTGATTCCCCACCTCCTCAGTAATTCGCCAATTTCCTTCGACGGATTACACGATGGCAGCATGTGGATCCTGGTAGAGTTAAAAACATAATCCCATAGCTAGAGGAGGCTTGATTAGGCTCGAATCTGGTTTTGACTCTCACATCACACTCAATTCAAAAGCAATACCCTCACACAACACGTGTGTATTGGGACTCAATCACATGTGGTAACATTGCAGGATAAGGGGCATACGTGTTTTAGGGGAGGATACAGCTGTTCGGTTTCAATTGCACTCATTTCACGCTTCATCTGTAGCCACTTAACTTTTAAGCAAACATTTAGATAAAGCATAGGACATCCAACAAAAACATGAGATGCCTGAGTGGACCAAATTGTAAAATAAGAAGGAAGTAGTTTTAAAGCCGTCCACCTTACTTGCCTATGTGTTTTTGCTGAATTATCGTTAACAATGGTGTCCTGCTCTGACGATATCCGTCATATGATGGAAGTGGCCACAGGGCGGTGGGCCGAGGACCTATTCGACGAATCTACAACCACAGCTTCAAGACAAGCCCCAACAGCCTCCATTGGAACTAACATACGAATACGTTCTACTCGCCTCTTCAAACGAAATGAAAGGTACTCCCATTGCCCTATAGCTTTATGGTTGACACTGTTCAAGAGACCTCCTTCCCTGTTTTGTGTGAAGACGGGATGAGCTCTCGTCCATCATATGATGGACGTTCCCAGAGATGAAACTTATTCTTGTAGATATCTCATATTAACACTATCCTTTATGCGAAGGTATAAAGACCAAGATGGTGTGGCCTTTTGTGTGGTCGCAGTCCCTTTCGTCGTATATAAGTTGTTTGACCTTGTTTTCGCAACTCAGTCATATTGGTAGGAAGACGTATGGGAACGCACCTAGTCCGAAGTCCATTGTATGCATCATCATTTA